CCGTCGTTGTAGGAATCGATGGACTCAGGACAAGTTTGTGGGCCAGGGTGTGAGGATTCAGATTCACTCTTGAATTGTCTGGCCCAGGATAGGCACAATGAAGGCATGCAGGCTTGGGTGGCCGTCTTCTAGCCTTAGCTCACCTGACTATGCTATGCCACACTCAGGATCATTCCGCATCTGATGCCAAAAGCAACATAGACCAGCTACCACAGAGACACACGTGATTTGACAGCAGCAGCCTGCGTCTCAAGACGGGCAATCGTATCGAACTCCTTGATGGTAGCCGCACCTGATTGCTTGACAGTAGGACGGGCTGCTGATGATGATGATGACGACGATAACAAGTTGGCTGGGACTATACAGAAGCGTAGATAGTGATGTTGCAGGACGGCAGCAATCACTTGTGGCTCCTCACGCCTACGCAACACTCGCGGCTTGCAACGATTTTCGAACATCCGAAAGCGAGAGCCTGACCTGCAAGACTACTTCGACTTTTGCGTTAACATCGCTATGTCCTGAGTCCTGGCTGAAGTCTGGCTTTTGTGTGCTGAGATTCTGGCGCAGGCGCGTCAAAGCACGGAAGACTGCTCGCTTGATTTCTGCAACCTCTGCGGTCTCCACGGCATCAACCAAGGTATCCTGCAGCGGCCATCATGCACTAAGCCCTCCTCTTGAAGAAGGGCCGACGTAATGGACATCACTTTGGCCTGTGAAACCGAGCCAATCTTCCACATGGATGGGTAGGGAGTGCGTGAAGTAGCGACTGGCTGCACAAGCGATGCGCCCGGCTTTTCACGGGGGCTGTGCAGGCCTCGCTGCCTCTCCATGGGATTGCCGGCCCCATTCAGAAACAGGACTCACCACAAAGAGACAGTGTTGGTTTGAGGCTACGCAAGATGGCTCACAGGAAGGTTTGATATCATGGGTGCTTTAAAAACTACCTGAGAGTTGGGTCACAGCCCCACAAGAAAATTACCTGAGTATGCTGACTACCAACATATTGGCTATGAGCTTGCGAGGTTCTCAGCGACCGACCTGGCTCCTGGAAGCCTGGTCTTGCAGCTCGGTTGCCGTATCCTGCGTTTGGTCTAGAAGATTCTGCTCATCTTGTGAAAAATGACAGCAGCATCAGGAGACTGAATTGAAATTCACGTACCGGCCTGCTTGCCAAAGGGCGAGATCTTGGCTACCTTCTCCTTTGGAGTGTCCTTGTTCTCCTGGCAATGCACGCACTGGTGCTGACTCTGTTATGCGAAATGCGCACATGCGGGGTGAAACCAATGGGAACAGGCTTCAAGCATAGGTGCTGCTGCAGAAATGGGAACACAAGCATACCTTTAAGCATAATCCAGTACAACTTGAAGGGTTGCTGCAAAGCCTCTGTGACATCTAGCTATCCGCAGACATGGCTGGAGCAACACACTGCATAGAATCCCTTGCTGCCCGTCTGAACTGACAAACTCCCAATAGCAAATGGTGCCAGCTTTTTCTGCACACCGACCTCCTCTGGGGCTCCGTAATACCTCGGCCATGTCCAGCAGCACAACTGCAGATGCCAGATTGGGAAAAGCAAGCAACTCCTGTCCGTCTTCATACCCGTTAGTTTACCTTTCCAGCCAGTAAGCGACTGCCCAAGTACAATGCTTTTTCAATTCGCAAAACACGGGCCCTGCTATGGCTTGTAGTGGCACATGCTGCTTAGGGCTCTCATGAAGTTTGCTGGGACTTGTTTGAATGGGCTTGGAAAGACAGCAGGGGTAGGTTGGCTGAAAACTCTGCAAGGAAGGCCACGTTGTCACGATAAGGATTTAGTGACTATTGCAATGCCCTCAACCCCCAGTTTGATGCTGGTAACGGTATTTGGAAAAGTTTTCGCAGCAGGCAAGGGTGCTACTTGCAAAAGCTATTTGCAAAACCCCTGCGCCTTTAGGTTTTTACATCGAAGTTTATCTTTGAGAAGTGACCCGCTTTGCAGCCGCCCTACTTGCAACACTAGCCGGCGTGGTATTTGGCAGACCTGATCTTCGCAGATTTGAAGAACATTCAAGGGTCTTGCACTAAAGATCCTGGGATCGGCAGCTGTATTGCGGAGCACACGGAAAGCGTAAGACCTGTGCACGTGACGGATTGGCCTCTGTTTCGCACAGCCGACTGCACGACTTCGTCTTGAAAGCTATGCATGGGGACACGGCCAAGTCACCCCTGGAATCGGTTTTCTGAACCCTGTGCGCACTTGGCTTTGTGCCACGACAGGGACCAGGAAAAGGATGACCCTGCGGTAAAGTGTGGGGTCTGGGGGCATCGAAATGATCACCATCATGTGCCTCATCATCAGGAACAACATCACAACCGCCATCACCCTCAACCTTCTCACCATCACAGTCATCATCGCCAGCCCCCACCACCCGCAACAACACCACACCCCACAGCGCGAGCAGCAAAACCACAACCACCGCCGTCATATCACCACTACCACCGCCGCCGAAACCGTCGTGGTCGTCGTCGACACCATCATCAACTTCGCAATCATTCTAGCACAAATTACCTGTAGCCAAAGCAAGCAGAAGATGCAAATCGTTGTCCTCGTTGGTTGAAGAAATTCTGGCCAATCGAATCCAAAGAATCACACCGGCAAATTTCATGTTGGATTCTTGGGAAGTAAGGGGAGGAAGGCTCGTGCCGAAGGGTTTCAGGCTCAGGCTGAACGGCCTCGGTAGAGCAAGCCAGGGCCTAAGCTTCATGCTGTGAGGTTCCACGAGTTATGGGGTGCATTGCTTGATGTTCCGGGCTTGAATGTAGGACTCACCATTGGGCTCATGAGTCCTGACCTAGTTTTGGGGGTATAGGTTGGAACTTCGAGAATTGGACCTGGGTTTCTGATGCATGCTCATTGGCAAGGCTTCCTGAAACTGTTTCAGAGCTCCGGTGAGTGGTGCCCGGATATCCAAAATCTGGAACCTGGAGCTTCGCCTTCAAAGTCTGGCCGAAAGTGAGTTTTCCGTTGTTCGGATTAGAATGCGGCCAGAACAGCAGACCCCTAAAACCAGACTGCTTACCGAGAAGCTTTGTATGATTCCCGTGGGAGGTACAGGAAACATCACATATCAATAGCATATGATCGAGGGCTTTGGGCATGCCAGAACTGAAGTAGAATCAGCTTCATGAAAGAATCTTGGCGATGTAGGCTGGTCGCTAAGGACCAGGCCAGGAGGACGCTTGCGAAAACGCCCGCAGATGCCAAGTGCCTTCAGGCTCTATACGAACAGTTCGGACCACGTGTTTAATGCCACGCCTACGTCCTGCTTTTCAAGCCATCTGCAGGAGCACAACAAGACCCCCATACCTCAACACAACTCATTCCAAGGAACTCAGATGGCAAACCCTTGCTTGCTGGCCCCGTTCCCCAAGCTCTTCTGGCCCGCTCCCGTCGCATCTGAACTCGCAACCCGCGGTAAGAGGGGACGGAAGAGCGCGAGAGCAGCGAGTGACAAGTGGAGTATTTGGGTTACGGGTCTAGGCTGTTTTAGAGTCTAGTATCAACTAGCTTGTTTGCCGACGTAGTTGCCGACTTGCCATGCAGCCTAGGCCTCTCGTCATCATAGGCGGCTGTTGTGCTTTCTGTGTTGCTTGCTATGCCCTAAAAGGATGCACCTAACGCGTGCCGCCCTCAAGAGATAACGAGACGATCTCAAGAGTTTGCAGCTAGCAGGCGGAACTGCCGGTTCCTATAGAGCTTGGTTTCCTGGAAGACCTGAGCGAAACGCTACAAAACTTCAGGCTTGACATTACTGGATCCAGGACTCCAACTCCTGGAGCTGGAGCCCTGCAATCCTGAGATTTCTGAGCGGTCCCTAGCCGACGGCTACAGGGAACGAGCCAGTGCCCCAATGCCCCACAAAGGTATGTATCTCTCAGGCGGCCTCATTGCAGCGGGGCGCGTATCCCAGCCTTGACTCTTGAGGGTGCAGGGCCAGGAGGAGGCAATCTATCTTAACTGAGTCCTCACTTCAGAGCATGAGATGGTAAGCTTGAGGCAAAATAACGTGGGAACCTATAAAAATCTGCTAGGCTTGCCAGCTTCAGCCTTTGCTCAACTGGGAGCGAGATATGCGTGAAGTCTTTCTGAAACGCACTCAGCGTATAAGAAAAGGCCATGGCCATAAAATGTCAACCCACCCCGTACCGGAGCCAAACGCCACAGAAGAACAAATGTCTGCAAGCATCAAACAAATTGAAGTTGAATACATGTTTGGGTTAATCCCAAGTCCAACCAGAAACTCCGAAATCCCAACCATGCCTATCCAAAGCACCGTTCTAGGCTCCAGGCGTTCAACTCTCAGAGAGAACGTGGGCCGCGCGGATTCTCGAGCCAACCGGGCGACGGACCGTTGCTGTTGATTTCCGACAGTCGTTCTGAAATTCCACGGGACACAGATAGGTTGAGCAAACATTGGATCTCTCAACAAGGAATGCCTGCGGTATCCTGCAGTTGGGAATTTGAAAGTCTGGCTCAACCTGAAGTGCCTTCAGTTCTGGATCCGCTAGGTGTTCCTGCTACTGCACCCATGAACTTGGGATGTTGCGCACGTCGTTACGTGTGTTTATTTGCTCCACTCGCATGAACCCACGGAACCAATCCCAAGGTGTTAGAAGATAGAAACTACCCCAGCACAAGGAAACCCACCCAATGAGCCGGCCAATAACAGAGCGAAGATACAGCATTAAACGGCCCCTGTCTGTTGATTTCATGGACTGTGGGGTCGTGAGTTAAGTGCGTGAATTCAATGGGCCCACACATCCACTTACTTCATAAACTCAGGCCTCTGTGTTACAAACGATCAAGCAGAATCAACTTTACGAAAGGCATTGACGTAAATACGTGTGGAGGACAGTCGCAAGGCTCAGAGGTAACCCATGCTATAGCCTTGACTTTTCATGAACCAGGAGGATCCGCGGTGCTGACTCTTCCAGACCCCAGCACAGAGCAGCGAGCAGGCCTGGATCTCTTTCTGCTCCCGCACCTTGTCGGCCTCTGGTACGGCAAAGAAATCGAAGAAAAAATCACCGTAGCTTCACTCAAGATAGCTCACGCACTTTTGTCCCACATCCTCAATGAATCTCTGCTAAGGCAGCCAACACAAAAACCTGAGCGCTAAACCTGGCTCTGAGGCACTGCCAAAGCAGTGGTGGCTGCATCATTCACCTGCATGGAAGGCTACCACATGCCAAAGTAAGGACCGCTTGCAGTTCCATCAATCAGCAGGAGGACTAAAAGATAGTCAATCCAGCATACAACCAATGCGTTCCTCTGCTATCAGGATCCTTGAAGGCCTGCACGTCAAAGGTCCAGCGCTCCAGCGTCTCTTCTGTCACCTCCAAAAGATCCCAGTCAACCATCCAATCCTCAAGTTAAGACGGCACGGCAGCCACTGCACCATGACGCCATTGCACAAAGAAACCGGTAAGCCCCTTGGCCTCCAAGCCGGACATTGTGGGCCAAGACTAAACTGCACCCTGATGCTCTCTGTAACTGCCTGCCTAGCTGTAGTGCTGCAAACGATCTGATAACCAATGTTTAGCCAAATCCAAGGCCCAAACTCCGTCCATCAGGATACTTCTACCCTGATCGTGTGCCTGCGAGGCTACAACCACCACCAGCTTTTTCACCTCACAGTGTGGAGGCTTGGGACTTTTGGGGCACACGATTATCTTAGGTTGGACATGCTTGAGGCAGACATCCAAGACTGAAGGTTGACGGCCTCATCCAGACACTCATCTTACCCACAGAGGCACCACTTAGCAGACAACGAACTACGGAATCTGCCAGCAGCATCATCAGAGTGATTCCACGGTACACCCGGCTGGTCACAAGTTTCCGTACGCGTGGTCCCCGTGATTCACTTTTAGTCCATGGGTTAGCTGGTCTTCTTCTAAGCGCCGTATTTGCCATGGGCCCAAAGTTTTCCGCTTACTGTGCTAAAACCATTCAGTGAGATGCAGGAAAAAAACGGTCCTTTATGGTCCTTTCCCGTGTCAACTTATCTTCAGAACCCGCAGGTGATCCCGGGGCCATAGATGCTTTGTTTGGCCCCTGTTCAAACCTCTCAGGCCTGGCTAACCATCATCCAGCCCCTCAGCTGCTTCAGGACCTGCTTGGCGGGCCAAGAATTCTCAAACAAGTGCACGCCTGGGGGTCGAAGGTGGAGGTATTTGTGTAATTAAGTTGCATGGTTTTGGGTTTTGGGTGTGGGCCCAGTGCAGGCCTCACCCAAGTATTCTTGGAGGCCCTTATCCTTTGTCACCAGGATAGACCTCAGCTGCGCTTTCCGACAGAGAATGCGCAACAGCAAAAGCATGCAAGCATGCAGCAATCAATAGAATGACAAAAACCGTTGCGTTGAGCAATTTTCCTGCCTGCAACATTGTCCCTTTGCAACTGTGTGCACTTATGGTGATGACAAAGGTAGTTGCTGCTCCGATGCGCTGGAGTGCTGCTGCGCTGCAGCTCCTTTGCTGCTCTGCTGCCACGCTGTTAGCTTGCTGGGATACTGCCGTGCTGGCGTGTTGGTGTCCTGGTGAGCTGATGGACGGGTGTGCTGATTTGCTTGTGTGGTGAAAAGCTGAAAAAACCGAACAACCCCAAACCCTGAACAACCCAAACCTTAACCCAAGCATTGCTTAAATCCTTGATCCATCTAAACTCTAAACAACCCCAACCCCGAAATCCCCGAAACCCTAAACAACGCGCAAACCGTAGAGAACCCCAGGCTCTGAACCCTAAACAACCCTAAATCTTAAACAACCCCAAAGCTCTAAACCCTAAATCACCCCACCCCCCCTAAACCCTGAACTAAACAACCACAAACACTAAACCTTAAACAATGCCTCAACACTGAACAGCCCCAAACCTAAGACGCTAAACAATCATCAAACTTGAACAACCCCAAACCTGAAACCCTAAACTAGCACCCAAAACGACTCCAAGCCTGAAACCCTCTAAACAATGACGAACCCTACATTACATAGCCAACGCCGAATCCTAAACAACCCCACACCCGAAACCCTTAACCCTTAACAATCCCTCACCTGAAACCGTAATCCCGCACCCCAAACAACCCCACACCTTACAAGCCCTAAACCCTTAGCAAACTCAAGCCCTAAACTGTTCGTCGTCGGCAGTAGTACTAGGTCCAGTACTAGTACTAGTACTGGTTTAGTAGTAGTAGTAGCAGTAGTAGTAGTAGTCGTCGTGGTGGTGGTGGTGGTGGTCGTGGTGGTGGTGGTGGTGGTGGTGGTGGTGGTGGTGGTGGTGGTGGTAGTGGTGGTGGTGGTGGTAGT